GTAAAGCCTAGAAACAATGGGACATGTTTCGAAGTACCAGTAAAGAAAAATTTGGTAGAGTCATCAAGTTATGATTGAAAATACAACATAAATACAACTATCAATCAATGTAAAAAAACAAACACCACCAACAACTACAAACACTATACCTTATAGTTGTTTATTTGTTTTTATAGAATTTTCGCACGAATCTATATTAAGCTTAGCTGGATATAGTTGGTCTACATTTTTAAGTGAAAGATTACAGGGAGTACTGCCAATTAACAGTTCCTAACGCCAACGCTGGGGCTAGTTTTATCTAACCAAACAGAAAAATTTGACCTTCACTCTTATAGTACACGCTTATAGCAAGTGTTTTCCAGCAACGAGAGGTGGTTTGGTTTGAATTTCTCGCAAAGCTACACGAGAGCTATCTGAGCTAGCCGTCCCTAATTTAGCAGTGATAGACTACACCACCCACCGCTAACTCTTGGGCTACTCTTTTACCAACGAATAGTGAGATTGACCGTCACATTATAACACCTTCACGGCTGAAAATGCGAGCATGTTCGGTGCGATCTATAGATTGCAACCTGAGGGCCCTAACTACCAGGCCACAAGAGGTAAACAAAGAAGCATCTAATTCAAAGTCCAGGCATTGTAACCTCTGGGTCATGCTCAACCTAGCTTAGTTCTAATCTATATTTATTTAGGAAAATGTTTGTGTAATTGAAAAAAAAAATACGTTGTTATAGGCTGCTTTTTGAAGCACAATTAATCTTCATTAACTATAGTGTATAACCGATAAAGATCTTTAGTAACTATAGTTTACAACCGATAAAGATTTCAGTAGCTAAAGTGTACAACCGATAAAGATCTTCAGTAACTATACTTTACAACCGATAAAGACTTCAGTAGCTAAAGTGTACAACCGATAAATACTTTAGTAACTATAGTGTACAACCGATAGATACTTTAGTAACTACAGTGTATAACCGATAAAGACTTTAGTAACTATAGTGTGCAACAGATAAAGACTTTAGTAACTATAGATGTATAACCGATAAAGACTTTAGTATATTTCGAACTGAACGTATGGCACAACTTGTTTTTCAGAAATAGAAATACAAAATTTTGTGGATCATAGGGTAGAATAATGCCAAAGAAGCTTCTCAAAAGCAATTAATAAGTTATTATTCCACCATATAGAGCAGTTAATAACAAAAACATAGACCCAATGGTCTAGTAACGTTAAAAGACCTCCACCAGATATCAATATCAGTTATGAGACAACTATACAAGAAGGAATTTTTATGCTTACGTTTTCAATCCAAACAGATTAGTTTTTTTTTGTTTATACATTTTATTTGAAACTGCAGGAACCAACCAGTTCAGTTTTGTTTTCTCTCCTATGTTGATAGAGCTTAAGCATAATGGCGTTTATTTTTTTATGAGCTACAATGGTCCCATATGTCCTTTTGTCAGTCCACATTTTCTTGACACTGTTGGAGATGAGCTGTTTTATTGAGATCGATTAGAGGAATAAATATACCATTTATTGTGTGGCATAAATGACAAATTTTACGAAGTATGTGTCTGACCATTTTCCTCTTTGATTTGTTGTCTAGTTGCTGCTCTGAGGTGTTGACTCCTTTACTGCTTATATACCACTGAAATGTGCATATCAGATCACATGCTCGGTTGCCTTGGTTTTACATAATTATTAACTCAGGTGTTCCATTGATATTATGATAGTTATATCTTATCATAACTAAATAACGGAAAAACTGAAATCTTCGATTATTTTCTAATTGTTACTGTTTTTGTTTTTCTTCTCACAAATGAGTCATGATGTAGAATGCAGCCACGTTGTTTTTAGAGATTAGTTAGGACTGGATACAACCCCAGTTTCATGGAGGAAAGACAAGCATATAGTGATGGTGGGCACAGATCAGTATCAGTGACCACAATCACCTTTATGTGAAAGACTCTTGACATCATGTGGTTACTTCCAAGCAGTTTTGATGAACAGGAAGTAGCTTTAGCGGAGGGGTGGGCTATGTGATGATAAACAGGAAGTGGCTGTATTGGAGAGGTGGGTTATGCGTTGATGAACGGGAAAGTAGCTTTAACGGAGGGTTGGGATATGTGATGATAAAGAAGTAGTAGCTGTAGAGGAGGCATGGGTTATGTGTTGGTGCACAAGAAGCAGATGTGGTGGAGGGATGGGCTATGTGTTGGTGAACAAGAAACAGATGTGGTGGAGGGGTGGGCTATGTGTTGGTGAACAAGAAGAATATGTGGTGGAGGGATGGGCTATGTGTTGGTGAACAAGAAGAAGATGTGGTGGAGGGGTGGGTTATGTGTTGGTGAACAAGAAACAGATGTGGTGGAGGGGTGGGCTATGTGTTGGTGAACAAGAAACAGATGTGGTGGAGGGGTTCACTATGATACCTCAGCAGCTCATTGATTGATTCATTCATTTTGAACATGCTACATCGATATAAACGAGAGTATTCGCCTATTAACAAACTTTTTCTTATCATTTACTAGGCTGAAAAGTCTACAGTATACCAAATCAGTATTTGTGGAAATAGTTTCTTAATAGTAGATATTTGCAATACCAGACGTGACCGGTAATCTGACACTTGTTTTGTATAGAACTGAACTGAGGAGTGATACTGACATTACTTAACAACAGGTTGTATCTTGTCAAAGCTAGAATATAGAAAAACCCAGTTATCTAACTGTTTGAGCACTGTATAACTCTTAAACAACAACATGGCTTGAAAATATCTATACTACAATTGCTGTAAACTTACGACGTTAGAGGTGTAACTATCTGTATCATGTTTGAACGTTTACAAGCTCAATAGTCCTTCATGAATAGTAATTATCATTCAGAAACAACAACAAAAGAACGTGACTCAAAATATCACGATATAAACAGGGTATTTTAGATAGTTTATAAAAAAGAATCTTTCACGGTGTTAATCTGAAAGCAAAGTAAAACGATGCTATTTACTTCTTTCTTCTCACAGATGGTTATAAAACAGTATCATTACTGTGAACATTCCGAAATTCCAGTTATTATTGGTTGATTTAGTTCTCTCATTGTTAGAACATCCTATATTAATGTCAGTATATGAAAACAATGGTTGATCAATACATTGTTGTTATGAAGAAAATACAGCTTTTGGTACGTGATAATCTTTACATTTAACTTGTCCAGTTACAAAAAACAAAACTTTGTTTATGTTTTATACAGGTGAGTATTTTAAAAGAATATTTATTCTCACTGTATTACCAACTATAATATGAAATTTAATTACAATGTTGTTTGGTTTTTGCCTGACAATATTAAGAAAATGTGCTTAACGGATTCAACTTCTGTAAATGTCTATAGAATATGCCAAAGAAGCTTCTACAAAAGCAATTAATAAGCTATTATCCACCATATAGAGCAG